GAATTTCTGGCTACTATGGACACTGGCAGCTGTCCCAACACATCTGAAAATTGAGGATGCCTGTTGTAGACGAATATTTGTATATATAAAGCCACTGATTTAAAATTGCATGATGGGCACAATTCTGCTCTCCACATAGTCAACTGCTTCCTTAGTTCAGAAGTCCTAACCCCGAGGAGGTCCCAACATCAGTGCAACATGTTGCATGCATGTTTTTAACTGTTTTTATTGTTTTGTATTTGTATTTCTAAGCTGCCCAGAGTCTATGGAAATGGGTAGCTATAATAGAGTTAAAATAATAACAACAACGACATATTTTCTGGTAAGTATGATTAGGATTATAGAATTAACATGCACTCACTTTTGGCATCTTCCATACTTGTTGGAATTAATGAGAAATTTTGCACCAATTAAGCCATCTTCTGTTATAGTTTTTTGATGTCATGAGTGATGTTATTTCCTTATGGAAAATGTTTAAAACATTTTTCTTTATTATGATCTGTTCTGCTTAACACTTTTATTTTTGTCTTTAGTATAAGGCAAGATGGTACTGCTTCCCTTATCCTACTATGGAAGGTGACAACAGAAAGGTTTAAACAATGCTCACTTATAGATGCTGCAAGCATTACGCTTCTTCAAGCAATGGGTGGACGCGTCCTAGCAGAGGAGATGCTGGGGTTAGGAAACAACTATTTCATTGGTGAGTTTTGTTAATGTTGCTGATTTTTATACTCATAAAGTATTTTTCTCTAATGTATTGACCAAATCATAAGTGTATATCATGTATTAAATCAGAGTAGCTGCAGCAGGTCACAAAACAAAGTAAAATTGAAATTAAAAACAGTTAAAGCATAAGAATAATCAGGGAGCAGCAGAGGTATAGGTAACCTTAATAATTCAATCACTCTTTCAGTTTTTACTTTGCATAGCTACACCAGTCTAGTGCCTCCCTCCTCCCTGTATGTTGAACTTCAGCTACTATCAGTCCAAGCCACTGTGGACTATGTTTGCTGGGAATTCTGGGAAATGTAGATAGGATTTAAATTATAATAAAAATAAATTAAACAACTAATAAGAACCAATATATTGGGGGGGGGGTATATTTAAAGTATAACATGTCTTTCCTTCCATGTTTATTTGTCTATATTTAAAGTATAACATGTCTTTCCTTCCATGTTTATTTGTCTATATTTAAAGTATAACATGTCTTTCCTTCCATGTTTATTTGTCTATATTTAAAGTATAACATGTCTTTCCTTCCATGTTTATTTGTCTCCTAAGATGTCTGTGGTCTAAGGTAAGAGTTCACATAAATGCAGAACCTGGTAAAAGTAATAGGGGAAATATTGGTATTCTTCTGTGACATCTAGCTTGCCATTATGAGAATCAGGATGTCAGGCTACGCATTTTAATTTGATCTAACAAGTTGTGCTTCTATGTTCTCTTGCTGTTGTTTTATGAATTGGAAAATATATTACAATTACATTTTATTTACTATTACTGCAGTTTGCAGTATTGAACCTTAGAAGATTAAGCTCAGTTATATACTTTATTTTAAAATGTGGGAAGGAGAAAGGTTTGGAGATAATTTCTGTGTGCATGTAAGTTTAATTAAATTAGGCTTGTGGGATAGATGGATGATTATACCTGGAACATAAAACTGAAGTTATGGTAACAATAGTATTAAACTGTTGGCTTTTAAAAAGTTTCTCTTTCTGACATGAAGAGCAAATTGTGAATTGTTCAAGGGTGTCTCGTTTTGGAGACATGTTACTTCTAAGCAAACAAGAGGAAGCCAGTAAAGAACAGATTTCCACTTGTGGATCTACTTCAGTGTGAACAGAAACTTCAGAAGTAATTTTGCTTCTATTCATTATACCTCTTCCTTCCTATATTCAATCTTAGTAACATTTTTAGAACTCCTTTGCATTGGCCTAATTATATTTGCAAAGCAGCAGCACCCTGATCCTGGGAATTGACAGCAGAAAGCAGCATTGTGGAATGGAGGTGAATGAGGCCAAAAGGGGCAGCACAAATCAGGCCATGGAATGCAACTAGAAGGAGAGAAAGCATGAAGATGGAGTCTGATCATATCACTCTCTGTCTCTTCAATTCATAGGGAGGAAGAGGTATAATGAATAGAAGCAAAATTGTTTCTGAAGTTGCTCCTCCTTTTCTGTTCACACTGTGCTCCTTTATTACTAGAGCTTGCAGATCCTTTGCTTTTTTGGCTATCAGAGCAGCGTGATCAGCACAATCCAGGTTACTGATGTTTCTTCCTCCAATTTTAAAACATGCTTATCTTCTTCCAATCCAGCTTCCTTAAATATATATTCCATATATAGGTTGAATAAATAAAGGGAGAGAGAGCCTTTTTTCCCTTCTTTGCCACTTGGAGCCAGTCTGTTTCACCATGTTCTGTCTGTATTGAGGCTTCCTGATCGGTGTATAACTTTTGCATGAGGACAATGAGATCTTCTGGGATTCCTGTTTTTCTGAGCACTTTCCACTGCTTCACCTGATTGACAATCTGAGGCCTTTCTATAATTAATGAAGCACATATTGATTTCTTTTTGGTTTTCTTTGGCTTTCTTAATTATCCAGAGTGTGTCACCAATAATGCCTCATGCTTCTCAGCCTTTTCTAAAGCCAGCTTGAATGTCTGGCATCTCCCTTTCCATGTTGGGCTCTAAACTGCATTGGATGATCCTAAGCATTATGTAAAATTACGGATATTTGCACACTCTGTGAAGTCTCCTTTCTTTAGTGTTAGTATGTAACTTGATCTCTTCTAATTTGTTGGCCATTGTGTCATTCTCCAGATTTGCTGGCATAACTTCTTTTGGCCAGATTTGCTGGCCATTCTTCTTCTGTTGCTTGCTGTGTTTCTGTAGATATTCCATCAATTGTTATAGCTTTTTGACTTGGTAATGATGGGAGCGCTGATCTAACTTCATCTTCTAGTAGTAGAGGTTCTTGTAAGTAGGGAATATCATCTAACGTATCTTGGATGTTAACATGTCTGTTGTACAGAATTTCAATGTACTCCTTCCATATTTGTTTGATCTTCTTTGAATCAGTTACTGTGTGTTCATTGCCATCCTTTAGCATACCAGTGTGAGGTTAGAACCTCCATCTGAGTTCAGAGACCTTTTGGAAGTTTTTCTCTGTCTGTTTGTTGTAATATTCTTATCTCTTATAAAAGCTCTCTGAAATTCTTTGTTAAGTTTCTTGATGAGATCTTTATTGGCTTTCGCTTCTCTTCTCTTTTTGATAATTTTATTCCATCTGTTCTGACATTCCATTTGTTTTCTTCTGTTTCCTGATATTTGACATTTTATTTTCACATTCATTCTTACCAATTTCTTTCTACCATTCCACTGGTTTCCAATCAGTGAGATGCAGGACTTCAAAGTGATTCTTGATGTTCTCCTTGAAAATGATGGATCAAGATCACATTGTGGAAACTGGTTGGCTTTCTTCTTCTATTTTAGCTTAACTTGGAACATGCACATAATCATGATCATGTTCCACAGTCAGTCCCTGGTCATGTCTTTGATGCTATAATTGAGTTCTTCTATCACCTTGTACCAGTAACATCAATTTGATTTATATGTACTCTGTTTGGTGATGTTCATGTATATAGGCATCGTTTTTATTGGTGGAAGACTGTGTTATCAATAAAGAAATTGTTGGATTTGTACAAATTGATAAGGCATTCATTCTCCTGGTTCATTTTGGTTTCCAAATACAGTCAAACTACATTTTTCTCAGTATTTCCCACTTTGCATTCCAGTCTCCAGCCCCAAGCAGCACATCCTGTTTGCATGTTCTGTCAATTCCAAATTGTACTGGATCATAAAACTTGTCAGCCTCCCTTTTCTGAATCAGGGGTTGAAGCATAAATGTGGATAATCATATTAAAGATTGGTCTGCAATGTCTAACTGATATTAATTGGTCACTTATTGCTTTGTAGCCAAATATTGTTCTTGCTATACCCTTCCTATGAAAGCAACACTATTCCTTCTTTATTTTTCATGGCCTGAAAAATAAACAGTGTGATCTTCTGATTGAATGTGTCCAATTCCAGTCCAGTCCATCTCAATTTGCTGATGCCTAAGATGTCAATATGTAGTCATTTCATCTTTCACTGTGCTCAGCTTTCCCATGTTCATACTTCTTACATGTTCCCACTATAATTATATCTTTGCAGCTTTGGGTTTTCCTTTCCTGTGTGGCAATATCAGCAAACAGACATTCTGAAGGCTTTAATCTATTCATAAACATGTCCTGTCTTAAACACCTTTAGTACCCTGAACGATCCTCAACTGTTCCTCGGTAGCATGCTGAGTGCCATCCAACCTGAGGGGCCCATCATCTGGCACTATATCATCAATAATTTTGTATTTTCTGTCCATGTGGTTTTCTTGGTAAAGTACAGCAGGGGCTTAGCATTGCCTTCTCATTGCAGTAAAAAATGATGCCTTTGCTGTTGTCACTAAAATGATCTTCTGCCTCCTTTATATATCACTTCTGCCCAACATAAGTGCCTGCTTGCTTTAGCTGGGCAGCTGGGATAACCTTCATGCTTTGGGTGATCCTGCTGGGATTATATACTGTTGGAATACACTCTTTGCTCATCCCTCCCAGGATCACCCCACCATGATGAGGCAGCTCAACAGGACTTTGGAGGAGTGAAAGTGGGGCATTGGACCAAAAAGCAGATTATTAAAAAAGAAAATGTAGGCTAAGAAAGGAAATGTCTTTGTATTTATAGCTAATGTACTTTAATTGACATGAACATTAGCAACAGTTGTGTGCAAATATTTAGGAATGAACAGATACCAGGATTAGAGAGAGCATATTTCTTAATAGTAGTTGCTTTGAAAGAACCTTGGGAAATGTTGTTCTCATGTCTTCCTAGTTGGTTGCTGCCAGAAATAGAATTAGAATTAATAGACTAAATATGTATTTGGTATGATCTAAAAGGGTTGTGTTAACTGAGCAAAATTATTCTGTTGAGGATTTTCTTCCATTGTTATAAAGTTATGGTGGCTCTTATTTCTATCCATACATGGTATCCCTAAATTTTCAACTAAGGGTATAGAAACAGGGCAAAGCTCTATCAAATTGTATAGTATATTCCAGGAAGCAAAACAGTCTCAGACATCCCTGCTTAAAATGGACAAGTTCATCATCTGGGATATACAAAAGCTCAAATTGGAGTAGCAATATGTATTTCTGATATCAGCTCAGTTCAGTAAATTGCTTGGTTAATTGAGTAGATTTTCTTTTTGATTTTTTTCTTCAGTAAACAATTTTAAAATAAGCGGTTGTGTTGCTGTTACTGTAGAAATGAAGTCTTGTAAGCAGCTTCACAGTCTGTTCTTAATTCAAATGCTCTTTGCTTGGTTGCTGTAATAAGCAGTTGAATGGTCTGGCTTTATAAACATGGTTAATGACATGAGTGTTATGAACTGATCTTTGAAATGAAAACATACTTTTAAGGAGTAGATATATAGGTGTTAAGTATGTGCTTCATTTTTTTAAGTGAAATGATGGCATGACTTAAGCTTAGCATTTTGTTCTAGTAAAGTCATATTAATGCTGTGACAGGATTTATAGCTCAGCAATGTTATAATGGTAAGCTAAGATTTTTAAACTATGGTTTATTGAATAAGACATAATGGCCCTTGCTT